ATACGGAGACCTGGTGCACTACATACCACAAGGTTCCCAAACGACCCTCCGCAGGTTTTGAATTCAGAGTTGTCCTTCTCCCAGACCAGTTGCCATCCAATGCTATAGAACCCAGTCTGTCCTGATATATATATATATATATATATATATATATATATATATATATATATATATATATATATGGTGGTACGCGTCTGGAAAAATTCGATAGCTCAACTTGCAGTAGAACAAATCGTTACGAGAGGAAAATTGGGCAATAAAAAAAAAAAAAACCAAGAACATTAAACCAAGGCAAAAACAATCGTCCAGTGTTTAAGCGCCAAGTCTAAAGAAAAAGCGAGTAAAAAAACAATTACATAAAGTGCTCAATACAATAAGTAGAGCAAAACCTAAGATAATCCTAAGGAGCCACCCAAACCTACCTACGTTTCACCAAAACGGCTCTTCAGGGTAAAGCCGACTGAAAAGGAAAATTATTAAACAGTATTTAATCTTATCTGATCTTATATATATAGATATATATTAATTTTAAATTATGCTTAAGTTAATTTTTAACTATAATTTGATTTATTGATCTTCTTATGCACGAAATTCAAAAATCAATTTAAAAATACACACACATACACACATACGCACACAAATATATATATATATATATATATATATATATATATATATATATATATATACAGGTCAGGTACTAATCCTTTGGCGCGTCCTGTTAAATTGAAATAGAATTTAAAATATGTTAAAAGATCGATCCATATTCATTTTAATTAAACAGAAGAAAATTTTCTTTACAATTGGAGTTAAGATAACTTTAGTTAATGACCATTTTCACCTAAGAATTTTAATTTTAAAAGGATGGTATTAGTTTGTTGTGGGTTACTGACTACTTGGGTCAAAGGAGGGAGGACGTTAAAAGAAATATGGTGGGAGATGTGGCAGAAGAAGGCACCGTTACAGGAATTATATTATGGTGGTAAGAGAGAGAGCATGGATTTGGGGAGAGAAGGGGAGACCGATGAGCCGACCTACATCCTAATGGTCACACGGCCAACTGTTGTTACAACGGGAATTCACGAAAATTAACGATACCGTGAATAAAACAATCAAGAGGTAACTTTAGTAAGATGAATGTGAGAATTAGAATTAGAGTTTAGAATTATTGGTGTATTAACCTCGTCCATATTTCAGATCTCACAGTTTGGGCTGGGGGGGGGTTAAGATTTGGAGGAAAATTGGATACATATACGTACCCATGCCTTCGCCCTCGTTAAGAATATCTCTACTCGCATCGCCATCTATATTTACATCCGCTTATATACCTATATCTATGCACATATATGCATACGCTAGCCCACAGGTATCTACAAGTATAGTATATATATATATATATATATATATATATATATATATATATATATATATATATATATATAAAGGTCTATTTTGTTCAACAAAACATGTACTGAAGAGGGATTACAGCCCGAATACACAATTTTTAAATTCTATATCAAGGAATCCAGAATCAATAAGGAAGCAAACATCGCAATATTAAGCCAAAAGATAATAGCAGCTGTTACAAAAGTATTTAATAGCGAAATCGAAAAAAAAACAGATATATTTAAAAAAGAAATTTTGTTTGAAATAGAAAATAAAACAATACTTTATCACTTAACATATATATATATATATATATATATATATATATATATATATATATAAGTATATAATAACGAGATCATATTAACGTGTTATACGAATAAGGACCTAAATAATATATATATATATATATATATATATATATATATATATATATATTTCAATGAACGTAATTTCAATGAAGAAATGAATTGAATAAACATATATATTTTTCTTTTCTCAATAATTTTGTAGTTTTTAAACTTAATAGTGATTAAATTTGGATTTTAAAATTGCCAGTTTTTAATTTTAATATTAAATTTTATCATGTAAATTTATAATTATTAGTTAGTATAAATTATTTTTAATATTACACGTATTAAAAAGATCTGAATAGCTATTAGAGCAGGATTTCGTTGTCAAGCTTTTGAATCTTTCTATACTTCGTTTTTGATTGGTTATTCTAGCTTTTGTAACAATGTTTCCCCAGTATAGGATCGTTAATTAATCTGAAACTTTTAAAACCATTTATTTTATTTTCAACATCATCACTTGATAAGACACAGAGTGTGTTGAAACAAAATGGCTATTTTTGTAGTGATTTTATAACATACTTATGTTATAATTTTTTTTAAAAAATATATATATATATATATATATATATATATATATATATATATATATATATATATGGATATATACACATGAATATGTAAATATGTATTATATTATAAAATAATATATTTTATCGAGATTAATATACATTAAATATACGAACCACATATATGCTACATAATATAGCAATATATATATATATATATATATATATATATGTATATATATATAATTGATTATATATAAGATCCCAGCTTTCGCCCTACACAAATATGCTCCCCATCCGGCTCCAGTTTTCTCCAAACTTTACAAGCATTGCCTCGCTGCTTTCTGCTTATCCTGCTTGTTGGAATTCCTCCTCTCTAGTTTCTGTTTTTAGGAACACTGAAGAACATTCTGACCTCTCTCACAATTGCCTTATTCCTCTCCAATCACTTTTCGGCAAAATATTCGAGGTTTTAATGAATGCTGATGTGGTTAGCCGTCTTACATCTCACGAGCTGCTCTCTGACAAACAATATGATCTGAGTTTTTTCCAGATCCACCTCTGAATATGTATATGAACCTCTTGATAATAACTACATGACTCGAACTTTGGCTCTAGATATCTCGAAGATGTTTAAATGGGTTTGGCACGTTGCTATTCTGCGTAAGCTACTGTGCTACAGTATTAATGTACGTGTTCTTGTTCCTACCAAATCTTGAATGAAAGTTGTTTTGAACGGTCTCTCTTCCAGATTCTTTCATACGAACACAGATGGCCTTCAAAGCTCTCTCTTGTGTCCTACTATGTTTCTGATGTTCATGAATGATCTCCCTGGTCTCATCACTTCCCGAGTAGGCATATATGCTTATGATACTATCATTTGATCCTTCGTCAATAGTAAATCCGATAGAGTTACTCCGGCAGTTGCTCTTGAAAATGACCTGCACTCAGTGGTTAACTTGTACAGGAAATGGCTCGCAAATATGAATGTCTGCAACACGAAACTTCTCTCATTTAACCACAGTAGAGGAACATTTTTACCCACCATCAGCATGGCTGATCCTAATCTCATAGAGAGCAATACACTGGACCTTCTTGAGCTCACGTTTTCAACTGACTTGAAGTAAAGCGTCTACATCGAGTCAGTACCTGCATCTAGGGCAAGGAAAGTTGGGTCACTGTGTCGTGCCAGAAGACTTTTCTCGTCAGAATTCATTTTGCACATTTACAAATATACCTTTCGTCCTAGCCTTGAATGATTTTGCCATATCTGGACAGGTTTAACTGTTAGTCGTCGCAGAGATTCTTGAAAAACTCCACAGAATAATCTGCAATGTAATCGATCCTGACATGGCATCTCGACTTCAGTCACTTTCTCACAGACGAGAGGTTGCTTCGCTCTGTCTTTTCTACAAATATTTTCATGGTAACTGCGCTGACGAACTTTCTTTAATTGGTACCTCCGTTACATGACTTTAACCGTGGTACTAGATTGGCATCTAGGTCTCACAATTTTGCCGTTGAATTAGATAAATATAACCGTCACTTCTACTCTAACGACTCATTTTCTCGCACTTCCTGCCTGTAGAAATTCATTTCGTTTATTTGTTTCTCTGATACCTACAATTTGAATGTAAAGTCAGTTGTCATCTTTTATTTACACCGGTCAGCTTTTCTCGTTTCCTCGGTCCCCACTTTACCCAATCTTTTCTCTCAACTTCACTCTTTATAACCCACTGTCTACTAGTGCCAATCGCGTCTTACTTGGGGGCAGGTGAAATGATTAATAAATAAGAAAATATAAGAATAGTTAATTATTGAATTTATATCGTAATCTGTATAAATGTGAAAAAATTAAAAAAAATAAAGGGCCAAAATTACGACTATATAATGAATAATTTACTAGAGAATAATTAACAAAGAATACAAAATATATGAAAGCAACTGGGAAAGGATAAACACACACAAACACACACATACATACATATATATATATATATATATATATATATATATATATATATATATGTGTGTGTGTGTGTGTGTGTATATATATATATATATATATATATATATATATATATATATATATATATATATATATAAGGAGCATTGAAGTCAACACTTAGAGGCGCCAGGCTGTTTCTGGCTAGATGCAATCGTCAGGTCACGTGACCTCTAAATGTTGACTTAAGTGTTCACTTTTATATCTACACACGCTCTATCTCTGATATTGAGCCACTTATCCCATAAATATTCCACACCTTAAGACTATACTTTTCATATATATATATATATATATATATATATATATATATATATATATATATATATATATATATATATATATATATATATATATATATATATATATATATATATATATATATATATATATATATATATATATATATATATATATACATATATATATATATATATATATATATATATATATATATATATATATATACATACATATATATATATATATATATATATATATATATATATATATATATATATATATATATATATATATATATATATATATATATGAAAAACGAATATAAGGGTCTTATGACGACAAAGCAAATGAAAATATTATAAAAGGTTATGAAATTAAAATAAATATAAATACAATTAATTAAAATCTGTAAAGATTAATATAAGAGAGACTGATTCATAAAAGTAATAAATGCTAAAGACAATAAAATTAGAAAGAACTGGATGAATGATATAGGAATATAGATGATTAAATGAAATGAAAAAGTCTATTAATGCAAGATTTATGATAAATCAACGACAAAAAGAAAGAAACAAACAAACAAACAAAGAAAAAGAAACAAAGAAAATAGAAATAGGAAAGAAACGGAGAAAATCCAAAAAAGAAAATAGAAAGTAATAGAGAAAATCGAAGGAAAAAACAAAGTAATCTAGAAAAAAGAAAGAAAGAATGTAAACGAGAAGAAGAAATGAAAAATACGTAATCTAAAATTAGAAAAAAGTAATCGAGAAAAAAAAAATTAATCGAGAAAAAAAAGAAAGAATTTAAGCTAAAAATAGAAAAAAAGAAAGTAATGGAGAAGATAGAACGTAAGTAATCAAAAAATAGAAAGATAGGATGTAATCGAGAAAAAAGAAAAAAGAAAGAATGTGATCGAGGAAAAAAGAAAGAAAGGACGTAATCTAAAGTTGGAAAAAAAGGAAGTAATCGAGAAAATAGAAACAAAGTAATCGAGAAAATAGAAAAAATTAATCGAAAAAAAGGAAGAAAGTAATCGAGAAAAAAGAAAGAAAGAATGTAATCGAGAACAAAAGAAAGAAATAAAGAAATTGAGGAAATAGAAAGAATATATGGAATCGAGAAAAAAGAAAGAAAGAATGTTCACATGGAAGTAAAATAAGTATAAGAACAAAAAGAAAAAGAAATATGATAATTAAAATATAACATAAAAAGAAGATAAATTATAATAAGAAATAAAAATAAAAATTCTGCTGCAAAGAGAAAAGTTAAACTAAAAAGAAACTTTCCATTAGATAGAAACTGCTACCAAAAATATTAGAACGAAAGCCTAAAGATAGGCCTACTGCACAGGAAAATAGATCCTGAAAGGAAAAGGGAAAAATGTTACTAATGACTATCAAATTGCATCGAAAAAAGAACGAAAAATAACAAGTATTTAAAGAAGCAAGAAACGAAAAAACGATAGATATTTAGTGTCAGAGATTATTAGAAATAAATGAATAACACAATTATAAAGAGAATGATAAGAAAAACAATCAGTTCTGCTTGACGCAAATGTGACATAACCTCAACTGTAAACCTCATTAAGATGTCTTTTTAAAGACATATTCTAATGAAGAATATCAAATGATCAAATTAAGCAAACATAATTAAAACGATTATTCTTATCATTGATAATCCGTCAAACCGATTCAAGTTAACATCTTACCTGCCTCTCCAATACAATTTGTACAAAACCGGATGTGTTCAGTTAAATAAACACTCATATCTATATATGTGTATAACAAAAACACGATAAAAATATTCTGCTGGAGTCGATAACACAGTAACCACATAGAAGAGGAAAAACTTACAAGAAACTTGCTACAAAGATACAAATCATCAACAAAAAAAATAAAATAAAATAATGTCATAACTTATTCCACAACCTGAAAGCCTCACTACCAACGATACAACACACTTTAAAACTTCAACAAACCAGTATTTATGAATTTGCTTGACCACTTGCAGAATCTGTCTGTCTGTCTCTCTCTCTTTCTCTCTTTCTCTCTCTCTCTCTCTCTCATATTGATAGTTGAAACTGCACATGAACTTGTTACATATCCATTAAATAATCGGGTCGATTAACGTAAAATATATTTTCTAATATATCTAAAAAATGACTAGTCTTACAGAGGGGTTGAATAAGTGATCGTATACATTAAAATATTTCATATTTTTATTTGTAATATATTAAATTAACAAAACGGGAATATATCTACTGTATCAGATTGCATACTAAAAATCTTTGCATATAAAACTAAATAATATTCCATAGTTAAGAAAATATAGCAATATTTAAATTTTTAGGGGTTTAAAAATGATCGTACAGCAGAACAAAGACATGTTTTCTTCATTTAATATTTTGTAGCAAAACCTTTATTAAGTTCAACAGCAACCAATCTCTTCCTGTAGTCTTTAATTAAGGATTTGTATACTTTAGTAGGTATTTTGTCGCATTCTCCTGAGTAATTGTCTTCAGGGTTTTTGATGTTTGTTGGACCTCTATCACGGATCTTATTTTCCAAAAGCAGCTATAAATTGTATTCACATCCAGCGACTGACTGGGATATTTTAAGATGTTAACGTTGTTATTAGCAAGCCAATTCTTCGTACTCTTAGCAGTATGCTCGGGATCATTGTCATGCTGGAAGATCCAATCAGGAGGACGCCCAAGATTCTCTACAGAAATCGATAGATTTTCGCTTAGGATTTGTTGATATTTTCTGCGTTAATTCTACCGTCTGTAATTGCTAGTGTGCCAACACCTCGCATCGAAAAGCAGCCCCAAACCATGATACCACCTCCACTAAATTTGACAGTTGGTATGGTGTTCTTGTTGCGTATGCTTCGCCATCTTTCCTCCATGCATGATTCAGAGAATTACGACCGAACAACTCAATTTTACTCTCAGCTGTCCAAACAACTCTTTCCCAATATGAATTTTCCTTATGTTTATGCCCTGTCGTAAATTTCAACCTGGCATCTCTATGCCGTTTCACAAGGAGTGGTGTCTTTCTTGGGAATCGCGACTTTATACCGTCTCTGTGTAGTTCATTACTAATATTTTGCTTAGTTCCATTAACTCCTGACAAACTTAGATCATTCTGAAGTTTTTGTCTGATGTCCTTTGGGTTATTTTGGACATGTCGCATCAAATTCTTCGTAATCTGGGAGAGATCTTCCTGGGAGCACTGGGTCTGCCTTTGTTATCAACAGTATTACATCTTTTAAATATTGCAATAAATGAACCAATTGTTGAAAAGGGTATGTTCGTGTCACTGGAGATGTTTCTATAACTTTTTCCATTCTTCCATAGCATACTAATTAACTTGTTTTGAGCACAAGTCATTTCCTTACGTCTAGACATTATTAGAACCGTTATCAGTGAATAGTTACTGCAGAATGATCCAATTTTGAACTGAATGTTGCAAAAGAGTTACTGAGAATATTCTAGAACAGTTTAGAATCTTCTACTTTGAAGTACAACCAAAATCTACCGTATTATAATGCAAAAATCGGTACTGTACGAACACTTTTTCGACTATTCAAAATATAAAAATTGTATAGCTAAAACTTATGGATGAATTTCTAAATTTAAATTGCAGATTCTGATTCTATCCCCCAAAATACATATATAACATTGTTATTCGGGATTTTCATTCGCTATAAGTGAGAATAATAAGCATTTGTTTCCTGTACGATCACTTATTGTTGTGCCATAGTACCTATTCTATTGTAATGGACTCTCCCATAGATATTAGGAGTAATGGCAAGTCTGCAGAACGGTCCATAGATAATAAGTAGGAACTCTGCATTAGCAGAGAGGAACCCGGACGAGGCTGCAGAAGTGCAAGGTTTCGTCCGGGAGGTAACAGGCCTGAACCCGTTTAATCGGCTTCAACATTTGGCCGAGCCTACCAAACCATCAAAACCGGCCTTGTGCCATATTTTTTCCGTGGGTGAAAAGATAAAATACCGAACGGTGTGTGTCATTGGCTCTCACAACTAGATTTTGTGTCATTGGCTCTTAAAGTTCCTAACGTTTTGTACGTCGGACCTAATTTAGGACGACTTATTAGAAATACAAGCCTCCACTGTGAAAATACTCCACAACACTTATTCAATACCACTGTATGTCTCCCCAAATTGAGAAAAATGAGCCGGAGTTTATTTCTGTATCTAAGGAAAGTATAGGGTTAAGGCACCATGGACTTATAAGCTACTGGAAGAGGCAACATTAGCCAACAAAAAAGCAAACACTCGGTTTGCCTCATGTAAACCAACTGAAATTGACTGCCACTTTCGTCAATGTATGGAATGAAATAGATGAGTAACTTTTGTATCCTTGCTCACCACATAAGGAACACAAGAAATAATACGAAACTACTATATCCCGTGATCAAGAAAATGTTACCAAATTAATGAGCAAAAACGTGAAGATGTGACAACACGATATTTGAAAATGATGGAACGGACATAGCGCATAATATTTTTGATAATAAATCATGAAACCTGAAAATAAATCTAAAATCGCACAATATATATTTAAAAGGAAAAATGTGCAAAGTATTGAAAAAAGTAGCTAAACATATCCGTAACAATGGCATTTCATTAATCGTTAATCTAATATTTATAGATTAAAAATTGGTACACAAATCCAGCCATTATACGGGGTGATTCAAAATAATTTTACAAACATTGGGGCGGGTTCCTCACAACAAAACAAGGGCAAAATTCACTATAAACATATATCCTCAATTTGTTTGTTTTTTAGTTAAGTTTAAAGTTTACGATAGATGGCGCTGTGTTAGACTAGGTTACATTTGTCATTCGTGTACATCTGTGGCTTTCGCGTTTAACGTGTGTAGTAGTGAGTGAATTGAGAAGTGTTTACCAATAGCAGGATATTCATATCATGAGCAGGCAGATATGACTTTAAATACTGCCGAGCGAATGGTAATAGACGCGAAGCTGCATGGCCGTATCAGATTGCATTTCAGGACTGGAGGCAGCCGAGTCATTGAAAGGCTGTTGCTGTTTATTGTTGCGTTGTTTAGACAATATCCGTGGCACCACAAACTATGGATTAAGGAAGACCAAAATTCACCAACTACTCCTGACCCCGCATGTCGTACATCAGATGGTAGCGTATGGAGGTTACTTCAAGAGCAACTGCTATATGCGTATAATTTGCAACGTTTTCAGGGTCTTTCACCCTCTGATCATTCAAAATGAAAGAACTTTTACCGATGGTTTATTGCACAACCTGCCGATCTGTTGTTTGACTTTTGAGTCTTGACTGCGGATGAGACAACATTTGAAAGGGATGGAATAACAAAGTTACACAACCAAAATTCGGGAGCGGATCGGTATCCCCATGGTACAATACAGGGTAGACAACAGCATCAGTTTACGATTAATGTATGGGCTGGAATTGTCGGTGACTCACAGGTAGGTCTAGCACGTCTTACAGGATTTATCTACAAGGAAATTATTTCGAACAACTTCCAGACCTGTTAGAGGATGTACCCCTGCTAAGACGAAGACGTATTTGGTTTGTGCATGATGGGGCTCCAGCAGATTTTAGTCATATTTGTGGTGATTCACTGTCTGACATCTACCATGAAATGTGGATGTGTAGGGGGACCGGTTCTATAGACAGCACGTTCTCACTCCGTCAATCCTTTGATTTTTTTTTTTTTTGCCTGTGGGGACATCTAAAACATCTGCTTTATGCAGCAGACATTTATAATGCAAAGGCGCTTCATTAACGTGTCATGGAGGCCTGCGAAACAATTTGACACCCTGTGGGAGTATCAGAAAGGATCCAGCAATCAATGATCCGAGAGGTGCATGCATTTGTAGAAGCAAGCGGGGCCATTATAAACATTTGTCATGAGTTGCTGTGTTGAGGTACAACGATGACCTTTTAGAAATATATTTATATAGAGAGTTTACCTTGATTTGGTGTCGGTAACACGCCCTCAAAGTTTGTAAAGGAATTTTTTGGGTTGTATCTTGTATTGTAAATTTAACACTGTCTACAGTAAATTTTAACTTTATAAGTCAACAATGAAGGATTTGTGGACATATGATTATATGGACTTTTGTCCTTCTTTTAGTGTGAGGAACACACCCTGAAATTTTATAAAAGCATTTTTCATATGCCCATATATATTAATATATTTTTTGTTTGTACGTTTTTTATGGATACACTTATTTGAGCAAATGATTTATTTTTAATTAATCAGTATTAATTATATTTACCGGCCTGAATTATCCAGAAATTTCATAGAAGAATATCCCATGGGGATCGAACTTGCATCCTTTACAGAATCGTCATAAAAACTAGCGCGCTATAACCGTTCAGCCAAACAGAACTTCAGGTTCAACGTTGCTCGAATTACTGGTTTTACACACACATCCGCCGAATTGTAGCCTAACTTAAACAATGACAACCTATTTTATTAAACGGATTAAATCCGACAAATATTTTTCATATATTTTCTTGGTTATATATATATATATATATATATATATATATATATATATATATATATATATTTTATATATTATTTGATATAAATGCTTATTTGAGTAAAATCTGTTTTGTAATTAAATGTATTAATTACATTTACTTAACATTCAGTTCGGTAAAAGCTATTAATACAAGAACAGAGTATTTACGTGTATCCATAAAAAAATGTATAAACAGAAAATATATTAAATAATTTATATATAATATATCGGTGGCAGCAATTTTTTTATTTATTCCCCCTTGGTTAAAAATTTTCATGGCGGATTATTTTTCAACTTACATTTTCAATGTTTCGAATAAGTTTTCTAGTTTCTGGTTCGTATTTACATGTATAACGTCGCATGCCTCAGAATTTTCAAAGTAGTATTTGTTGTTTCTAATGACATCAGTTTATTTTTTTTTTAATTATGTGTTTTGCATGTTGCCGTTATTCATGCTTTGCCTATTCACGTGAGATTTTAGCCTTCCCTTATTTTTAATAAACTCTAAATGTATTCGATTTGTACAGTGTAGAGCCGTTCAGCCAGAAAAGTAAGTATTGAACATTTCAATATTTTTTTTTTCCTAAATAAAGATATTGGAGTATCAACACTCGCGGCAAAATAGTTTCCTTCTTTTTATTCGAGCGGCAATAGAAACTGTTACAATTATATTTTAATATCTACATGAGTTATTGTAATGCTAGGTTTCAAAACTTAATATATCGAACATAATGACCATATATGCATAAGGTAAGTAATATTTACCTAATCTACATATCATACACACAAATACACAAAAAATACATATGTTATAATTATATATATATATATATATGTATATATATATATATATATATATATATGTGTGTGTGTGTTTGTGTGTGTATACATGCATACATATATATATATGTGTGTGTGTGTGTGTGTATACATATATATATATATATATATATATGTGTGTGTGTGTGTGTGTGTGTGTGTGTACACACACACACAGATATATATATATATTGGAAAAATAGAATAACAAATTGGATAAAATGTCACAAAAAACTTTCTCATACTATTTTTCTATCTTTTGTTATATAAAATTATACAAATGTATATATTGTTGTATATATATATATATATATATATATATATATATATATATATATATATATATTTCTGTTTCTGTGTTTTGGAAAAAAATAATTGATATATCAATAAGCGTCGAATAGGAAATAAATATTCATAAAAATTCTATCAACTGGAGACAATGACATACACTACTATAAGCCTGAAGGGTTATCCGAAATAAAAATAAATACAATTAACTATTAAATAAAAATAGTCTATGTTGTGCAATATTTTGAACCTACTTCATCACACTTTATACAAAAACTCTCTCTATCTCTTACTACGTTTCTATATTTTTCAACATACATATATACATATATATATATATGTGCGTGTGTGTGTGTGTATATATGAGTGTGCGTGTGCGTGTGTGTGTAAATCTTCCCTCACTGAGTGCAAACTGTCCTCAATGAAGCAAATCTACTATTTTCTGAATGAAGGAAACAACGTGTTGCATCTCGCAAGTGTGGTTCTAACGATTAGAGACTGCTCCGCAAGATGGTACTGGACAACAGCAGATCCACAATACTTCCGCTATTGAAACAATTTGAGGTCCTGACTTCCTCACCTGATAAGGCTGAATGCTTTGTCTGGAAATTCTCATCCAATTCAACCTCCTACTCATCCAGAGTATCCACTACTGACTCCCCCACCACGTAGAACTGAGGCTCCATTGCATGAAAAGAACGTCTCCCTCATCGATTGCACTGGACATCATCTGAAAATTAGACACCCATAAGTCTAATGGCCGGAACGGGATACCAGTAGTAGTCCTGAAGAAATGTGCTCCTGAACTGTCTCCAGTCCTCTCCAAACTATATAACTATTGCAGTATTGATTCTTGCTTTCCAGTATGTTGGAAGTCCTCATCTGTGGTCTCTGTTTTCAAGAACCCCTGGAGACAATTCTGACCAATATAACTACCAATCAGTCTTCTACGACAAGTTTGCAAAGTCATCGAGGCTTTAATCAACGACGAAAGAGTTAAGCACCTTACATTCCATGACAGACAATATGTTTTCCGCTTTGGCCGGTCTACCGCTGAGGTGCTCACGGACATGCTGAATATTTGTGCCAATCAGTCGACAATAACAGAAAAGCTCTTGCTATAGTTCTTGATATCTTTATAGTATTCAGTAGTGTTTGGCATACCGGCCTTCTTCATAAGCTTCAGGGATACATCATTACAGAATGATTATATAACTTAACACAATCATTCCTGTCAAACCGTGAAATGAAGGACAGCCTAAACGGGTTCTATACCTGTTTCTTTCATACGAACGCTGGTGTTCCCCTAGGCTCTATCCTGGGTCATACACTCTTTCTGCTCTTCATCAACGTTATTCCTGACATCAACAGTTCCCATGTAGGCATCTACGCAGACAACAATACTATTGACTCCTGCCTCACTCGTACATCCAACACCGCTGTCAGAACTAACCTGGCCGTTGGTCACGTAAAGCACCTCTTATCTCTGGTAGGAAATGGCTTGTAAAATTCAATACCTCCAAGGCAAAACAGCTCTCATTGACCGACCATAGAGAAATCTCCCTGTCTCCCATTAGAATGGCTGATGTCTAACTCCACGAGAGCGCCCAGCTGTGCCTGCTTGGTCAGCCTTTCCACTGACCGGTCGTGGAAAAACTACTTTGAATAAATAACTTCTTCTACCGCAAGGAATATTGGTTCTCTGTATCGCTACAGAATGTTTTTCTCGCCTGGAGGCCATCCTTCCAGTTTACAAATCAATCATTCATCCTTACATTGAGTAATGCTGCCATATATGGGCTGGTGCCCCCGCTGTTCATCTCGAGGTCCACGACAAAATCCAGACACGGATATGCAATGTGATAGGTGTGGCACCATGCATCATTGGAAAACTGAAGAGAGATATTCATAAATATATGATTTATTTTTATTCGGTTTGTTAACCAGTTGATAGTTATTTAGAGACGAAGAATAATTGAGTTTTGAGAATAATTCTCTAATTGTATTTAGGCGATCCGAAAGAAAGAAAAAGGAAGAAAAAAAAAATGAAAAAGAAAAGAAAGAGAAATAGATGGTACAAAACCCGGTCATGAGCACACACGCTTAAACTAACACCAAAACAGGTGTCAAAAGATATCTAGGCCAAAGTACCTGACCGAAATCCACGAAAAATAGAAATTGTTATAATTGGTTGAAAAAATAGATTTTAGAAATAATAAAAAGAAAGAAAGGGAAAGACAGGAACATGATACAAGACGGGGTCGTGAGCGAATGGGCACACGCGCGATTGATGCATAACAGATGTCGGTCAAGCACCTGACCTACTTTCGTGTCCGCGTTGTATGGGAGTTTATTATCAATTTGGTTGAGGAAATAAGATTTTAGGGACAATGAAAAAAATATTAATAGGTAACGAACGAAAAGTGGTTTCATTGAGATGATAAGTAACCGCTGGGGAAATGTATACGAAAACAAAACATTAATACACGAACCCTGACCATTTCTAGAGTTGAAGATAAGAACCACCCAAGATGATGAGTGGTGAATATTTTCAATTTAGATAATTAAAATTTTGTTAACAGGCCCCGAGCGAAAGAAAGAGGTGAAATATTTGTTTTAGCTCGCGGAAGACGCCGACAGGTCGGAAAAATTCTTTCTTTAGGTCGCATCTAATTAGCGGCAGGCTGTTTTGACAGATGCCAAATGTGAAAGAAACCGGGATCGTCATTTTCGTACGAAAAGGACAATTTGGATTTTGTTTTTTTAAGCAAGGTATTTCTTCCCCCCAGAACAAAGCCACGGATTGTCCACGCCCGATTGGAGACGTCACGAAGGAAGGAGGGAAGATACCGACCAGAGTCTCATTAGCCGAGGGCAGTCACATGATACATGAGGGAGGAGGAGAGACACCCGACCAGAGTCTCATTGGCCGAGAGTGGTCACTTGATGTGCGAGGGAGGAGGAAAGATGCTCGACCAGGACCCCATTGGTCGAGAGCGGTCACCTGACGAGGGACCAGGGGAAGCGGGTATGCGCATCCCCCCAGAGGCACCGTAAGGAAGTAGGAGTGAAAGTAAGAGCGATAATGGGAAATCAGAAATAATACAACTTTAGAATTATCAAGAAAACCCTGGCGCCGACAGACCCACCCCAGTTTGTTACGGCGTCAATAAAAGCAGGACCCCAATCGACAGAAATCAGTTGCAGGCCGGACAGACAGAAGAGTTGCAGGCCGGACAGGCAGAAGAGTTGCAGGGCGGACGGCGAGAGAGAAGTTGCAGTTGGAGTTGGGTTTGCGCCTCGGACGAAGAAAAAGTTAACTTGCAGTTGCGCCTAGGAGAAGTTGGAATCAAACCAAGCCTAAAAATAGAAATTCGTCCAAGACAAGTCGAAGTGAATAAATTCATCCAAACTCAAGTCGAAGTGAATAAATTCGTCCACCCGAAGCAGAAGAGAAGTTAATTCCGCACTGACGGCGAGGGGAAATCAGCCGTGAACGACTGGTAGAGATCAGCGCCCAGTGTCGAAACCAAACCACACCCCGAAATGCAAATTTCTAGAGAACAAGCAACTCGAAGTCTTAAAGTTGTATGGTAGAAGCTTGGTGCCACAGTCCATAAAACGGGTCGGGAGGTAGGAACAATTTTGTGTAACGAACATTTAGATATAAAAGGTTGTTACCCTTTTTTTCAATAATTTTTGGCCTCGTGAGTTTTTCTTTTTCTTGTGTGTTATCACCCCCGTTGAACCCAGCTGGCATACGGCCCCAATCCCTGTTTGATCCCGTCTGTCTAAGATCTAATCACAACGTGGGTAGGCAGACCGGAGATCAGTACAGTTACCCTAGTAACCAGGCGTTGGAAGCGAGTTGGGAACGACGAGGCTGGTATTCAACTAACCAAAGGGTTAGAACGTCACCCTTGGAGCAGCGAGGAGCGAACAGCTGACGCCGCGGCAAAGACGTCACAACTGGTGCTGTCCGTGACCAGGATATCAGGGCCTGGAGAGCACGTGACGTCACAATTGGTGCCGCGAACGAGATCGAACGACACAGTCGACGCTGCGACCAGGCGGGGCGACGTCACATAGGTCCTATTCTGGCATTTCGTCACTCTGTCACAGATGTGCTGTGGATTCTCTATGTCATTTCTACAAGTATTTTAATGGCAACTGCTCTGACGAGCTAAATTTTATGATTCCCAAACTGCATAAATTTAAACGTGCCACCAGGTTGAAATATCAGATCCAGCCTTTCACTGGTAAAACGGTAAAATGCAGCGGTCTCTTGGACTCTTAAAGCTTCATCTCTCGTATTCTCGCCAGTGGAACTACATTTCACCTACGTGCTTCCCTGATAGCTATAATCTTCAAATATACAAATATATATGATGCATTGATATCCCAGTCTTTCTCTATATGCTTTCCTCAAATACCCTCTTTAGTCTTGCTCTCAATCTCTGTAACACCTTTGGTTCTTTCATTGTATACTTCTTTTTTTTTTTCATTCTCTGAATATTACCTTCCTCCTTTATTTACTTAACACTTTCTCTCTCTCTCTCTCTCTCTCTCTATCTATATATCTATCTCTCTCTCTTTCTTTCTTTCTTTCACTGTATAATTATTTCTGCCTTAGAATACTTGGTTCTTTCTTTCTCTGAATATTTGGTTCTTTCGTTGTATAGTTGTTTTTTGTTTCTTCTCTTAATATTATATTATATGCATTGTTTGGTGTGATATGCTTTATATATATATATATATATATATATATATATATATATATATATATATATGTGTGTGTATGTGTGTGTTGTGCGTGTGCGTGTGTGTGTGCGCGCGCGTGTGTGTACGTGTGCATGTATGTGTATTTTTGAGTGTTTGTCTCTGTGCAGAAGTATAATCGCATTTATCACCCGTATATGTATATACTATCACTCTCTGTATAAATCCACAGTGGGTGATAGTATATACTATGTGATATGGGGTGATTTATTGATTAAATTCAAACTTTATATATACATACATACGTATATATATATATATATATATATATATATATAGGGAGGGAGAGAGATAACAAGAATTGTATGAAACCCAAAATACTGACAGTTAATGGGATATTGAGAAAAAGACATTTAATATGAGCAGTCTTTGCAATAAATTGCTCGATATCAAACATAATGCATTAATAGGATTAATGGGAGTAAATGTTTGTAATTTAGCTGATTTATGTCAACTTCATCAAAAGAGTTTCGTCCGTCCACTCTTCAGCACTTTACTGCTTATATTTTCCTATTTCTTCCTTCTTTTATACATTTAGCATTAATATATATATATATATATATATATATATATATATATATATTTATATATTTATATATACATTTAACATATATATATATATATATATATATATATATATATATATATATTATCATTATAATATTAACATTAATATATATATATATATGTATGTGGGTATTATTACATACATATATATATATATATATATATATATATATATATATATATATATATATATATATATATGTGTGTGTGTGTGTGTGTGTGTGTGTGTGCGGAGGAGGATAATATCTTCATAAGCTGACTAAGAATGATTCATTCTAGTGCTGTGAAAATTGCATGCATTAAATCCACCTCTTCTTATTAATCACTGCATTGTATATTTCCAGCTAAACTCTCAATGCAATTACTATATGCCGTGAGCGTTGAGAATGTTCTACACAATAAACTCCCTGACACATTATCAGAAGCACACCATATTGATCAGATCATGGGAACATCTGACAACGTTTGAGACAGATCAAGCTGGTTACTGCGAACTTTTCTAACTCAGTATTGGTTTGGGATTCATCACTTTGAGCCAAAGAAAAAGATACAATCCATGAGATAGCAGTATCCGTCCTCACCTGTTCCAAATAAAGCCAGTGGCTTTTCATCTACACTGAAAGTGATAGCCTCAGATTTTAGAATCAGGAAGCATTATTTTTATTGTCTATCTTCAAAAGGGTCAAATGATCAATGGAGCATACGACGCCAACTAGCTGAGGCAGTTACAATTGGCTATCAAGAGCAAATGCATATGTCTGTGTTTGGAAAGCTATATTTGTACAATGCAATTTTGCATAAAGAAAAACTAAAATTCATGATTGAAATAGTTTTATTCAAATATATTACTAGTGGTGATGTTAGAATTTAGGATGAGATCACCCCCACAAACTCATTGCGGCTTCTCGTGCTAATGTTTTCCGCTGACATGATGCAGAAGAATTATATTGAATCAGTTGCTAGTTCTGCTGCTAGGAAAGCCGGTTCACTGTGTCGTGGTAGACTTTCTTTTTCACCAGAATCCATCTTACTACATTTATACGTCTCCGATTCGTCCATGCATTGAATATTGCTGTCAGATTTGGTCTAGTGCTTTGCTATGTATTTAGAGAGTCTTGATAATAAAAAAATAAGAATCTGCAATCTTATTTGTCCTAACCAGGCATCTCGGCTTCATTCACATTTACATCGCCCTAACGTAGCTTTCTCGTGCTTTTTCTATAGATATTTTGTCGTAAATTGTTATGATTATCTTTCCTGTCTGCTAACTTGACTTTATGAATTTTAGCGCTGTACTAAATTTAGAGTAGGGTTTCATCATTTTACCGATGAAATGGCTAAATGCAACCGTATGTTCTATGTTAGCAACTTGTTCTCTCACACTTCCGGCTTCTTACTTTCCAGTCAACTTTAATCATATAATGAAATACATGTCTATCGTTCATTTTTGTCTTTTTAATTCCTGTTCTTTTTATTGTTCTCAGTTATGAATTTTTTCCCTCATATTCTCTTACTCTCAGTAAACACTTGCATCTTAGTAACTTTATTGCCTTGCATGGGTTGAAATGATTAAAAAAATTGTCTATAATCCTAAAATAAAACCACTTTAATTTATATATATATATATATATATATATATATATATATATATATATATATATATATATATATATATGTACGTTTAATTAAATAATATAGACAAGTGTTGTCTATTTATTTTATGTAAAATTTTTTCGTATCTTCTGATAAGTTTGATAACATTATCATTAAACGAAGAAAGAAATTCACAATATTTATCCATTATTTTTTAATATAATCTAAGCTTTCGGCTTACTTAAGCCATTATCAAAGATATAAATCACAAAACATATTAAACAATATACGGACACGACAGTGATGATAGTCTGTCATTGTTTACATAGTGTATCAGTAAGCAACGATAAACACGCGCATATAAGATGCTAGAAGCGAAAATCGCACCGCATTTCATGACGTCACACATGACTACACGAGAGTGAATTGTAGAATGAAGTAAGGAAAGCCGTTGGTATAAACCAATGGCTTCTGTTACCAATTATAGAAATTATAGACATTTAAGAATATTTGTAGACATGCCATAATTGATTTTGTTTAGGTTGGGTTTTAACTGTTTGATGTATAATGCTTCAAGTATTTTTAGTTTTTATCTATTGTTTTCATGTCGAAGTATAGTTGTGTTTTCGACAAGTATTTTACGGAATTGTTGTTTTAAATGCCTAAAATGTTAGAGTTTTCATTAAAATGTAGTGTCAAGCGTCGTGAAAGCGAGTTTGTGGTGTGACCAACATAAATATTATTTAATTCGTTGGAGATACACTCTCCCAAAGGGCACTTGAATTTATAAACTATGTTGTTTTTTTTGCAAATCGCTAACCGGGGAGAAGAATCATTGCGAAGTATTAAGTTGGATATACTAGATTTAGTGTAGTATATGATTAATTTAATTTTTTGCTAGGATCTGTAGTTGATATATTAGAATTTACTAAATTTTTTAGTATGTGTTCATCTTGTTTATAATTAGTATGTATTTGATTACGATATAGGAGATTAATATATTTGAGATCAGTAGAAGCAGTATTATGTACAATTTGCTTATTATTGAGGTTTCTAAGAAAGCATCTTATTTGTTCATCAACTATATAGTTTGGAAAGCTATTATTAATAAGTGTCTGTTTTATATTCTTTAGTTCACTGTAAAAATCTGTTTTGTGGATGAATTAGTTTCTGCACGATGTATTAGATTCTTTATAATTGCTATTTTGTAGTGATATGGGCATTCGCTCTTGTAGTTAAGTGTACATGAATTTATGCTTGTAGGTTTTTGTATGGCGAAATAGTAAATTTGTTATTATTTGTGTTTATCAATATGTCAAGGAAGGGGATTTTATTATTAGTATTGAGTTCATATGTGAATTTAAGGACAGAATTATTTTGGAACCGTTTTTGAA